AGCTCTCTACATGGAAAAGTGAATAACAAAAAATAACTGTACATTGACTTTTTTTTCTGATAGTAACCAATAAATAGTTAAAATCTTGATTCTTCACTTGTTCATGTACACACAGGAGGCCAGATATTGGTGGAAAAAAACCTAGGATTTAGATCTGTCGGGTCCAGGTCTACTGGTCTTGTTGGTCTACATCTCTAGGGTAATGCACATGATAAAAACTTCAAATGTATAGCCTTAAGAACGGTTGAGATTATAGTGGAATATTTTCGACCAGTAATGTATTTCTTTATTTACGTATATAGTGCTAGTTAAAAATAATATCCATTGACTCTATTACCGAGAGAAAAATTCAGTCAATTCATGATAGCAGACCAAATATATTGAGTATTTTTTTCTTCTAATTATTTATGGGCTACCATGTAGTTCTTTATTAAATAGTGTTACGAACCAGTAACCGATCGGATTGTATATACTTATGAAATTAATTTCTATCAATGAAAATTACTAGTCAGATTCATCTTAATTTAATATTTATTCAGAGTTACATATATATAAATATTTGTTCTTAAGTTTTATTTTTATATTGAAAATGAAATTCTACAAATGACAAACGAGATTGAACTGTTCTTGTTTTTTTTTTATTGTAGCAGAGTTCTATATATAATATCATTGTTTTGATTATTTACATTCTTCTAATTTATTTTTAATTTCAACATCCATAGCTGGATCATGATTGCGTACATAATCATTTAATTTATCAGATGCTAATTTAAATTTTTCTTTTGCTTTATCACGTGTACCTTGTTTAAGTAAAGCATTACCCCAATCAATATTTGCTTGTGCAACATCAACAGCAAATTGTGGTAATAAATAAAGATCATCATTATCACAAACAACACGTACTTTTGAATATTTTTTTGTCCATGTTTGATGAAATTTTACATTTGCACAATAAATATATATAGCATAAACTTGTGGTAAATCATGAATTTCTGGAACAACTTTTTGTCCAAGTCCACCGGATGATACAAGAAAAACTCGTTTATTGACACATTCATTACGTATAAAATTAATACAACGGTCATCTTGACTTTCACACATTTCCCATTGAAATGTTCCACTAATTTTATCATATACTTCTCGTGTTTCGACTTGTAAACTATCAAGTGTAACAAATTTAAAACCTTTAAATGTGCTTGCATCAATTGTTTGTGCAGGTAATGGCTTTAATAGTTTTGGACCAGAAGATGCTGCTGCTGATGATGATGAAGAAGCAGCATTAATATTATTAGTCATCATTGGTACTTGTGATGATGATTGATAACTTGTAGGCATTTTATCATATCCTGAACTTGTCATTGGCATACATAATTGATTTGTTGTTTTCATTTGTGAATTAGGAAAAAGATTAGCTGTTCCAGCTGTAATTTGAGCCAAAAATTGTGGTGATGCAAATGACATTGGAATGGGTTCCGATTGTAAATGGCTCATATGTGGTATCTTTGGTTTTTGTGGAGGTGTATCGGACATTGTTAATTAATCTACAAAAAAACAAAAACAAAAGTTTTTTTCCGTTATTGTCCGTTTTTTTTTGACTAACGTTTCGACTATTATTATTCTTGTTGTATTGAGAAGAAATATAAAAAAACAAAGTAAAAAACTGACGATTCTTCGCTTTCTTTAAAGGCAATAAACATGGAAAAAACCAAGCACTGATAAAGAACGCAAAGAGTGTTTTTCTCTTTCTTCCTTTTTTTACACGTGTGTGTATAGTAAAGGTACACGAAGAATATTTTATTCTCTATAGAATAATAACGATATTTTTTTGAAAGATTTTCTTTGCATTATAGCATAAAAATAGTCCAATGAAATTTTGTGCAAATGCAAAATGATGAGAAACAAGCGGACATGTATAGTTAAATAAGTATGACATTCTTGAAATGCAATGTCGAAAGTAAAACAAACATTAGTTAACTAATATATTGAAAATAAATTTTCTAATTTAATTATGTATAATAATTAAGTGAAAACTTTAGAGTAATTAAATAAAAGTTATTACTGTTAAATGCTTTTAAGAAATCAATGTCATGCAGAATAATTCAAATGATAGTAAAGAGTAATATGACGTCAGATGAAAAACGTATGAAAAATTGTAGTAATTGCAAAACTTATATAAAGTCTTAGTGTATGATTCTTACACGATTGTATTATCTGTATGAAGATCATGTTAGCATCGCATGCCAAGACTTAATGTAAGTTTTGAAGACACTATGAATACTCATATATTTTCGTTTGATTGTTAAAAGATTGCACAAGATTAAATGTGAGTTATGAAAGATTTGATTGTTTGACTGAGATTAGCAATTATACAAAAGAAAAAAATAGCGAACTTCAAGGTTCTTATCTTTCTTGCTTCTTCCTAGGAAGTAAATTTGATCGTTTGTTTTTTTTTTCTCATATAAACATTCATGATAGACGAAAGATTATTTAATTAATATGTTTAAGAAACAAACAACAACAAAAAAAAATGATCTATAGTAAAAAAAGCATTAAAATGTTATTCTATGTAATTTCTTCAAGGAGAAAAATACAGACTATAATGTTTTAATTTTCACCCTGACATGCGGCAGGGATTTCTAGTTCATTAATTTTCTTTGTAATATTATCAATTAATTTTGTTGTACCAGAATCACCTACTTGTTTTGCTCTTATTAATAATTTTTTTGACCATGCATAACAATTTCGTGCTGGTAATATTGCTTCATTAGTTTTATATTGATCACCTTTTCTTTCAACATATGCTGCAATATCTCGTGTCAGACGTTCTAATAAATTATCTTGATGTTCAAACATTCCTGATATATTTTCAGCATATTCACCTGCCCATTCTGTATGATACGATATATTACCACAAAAAATATAAATTCCTTGAATTTGTGGTAAATTTGCTATTTGTGGTACAATAATTTTTCCAATAGTACCAGATGAAATAAAGAAAATTTTTTTGTCGGAATTCTTAAGAATATATTCTAAACCTTTTTCAATTGTAGGGAAATATTTTAAACAATAAACTTCATCACTTAATTTTTTAAGCATATCGGGATTAGCACATAATATACTATCATCATCAATTTCTACTTCATTTATATTATTTGATTGAAGTACTTGAATATTATCATTAAATTTTGCTTTAAAATCTGCATAGGAATCTTCCATACCAATATGTATATCAACCCAAACAGTAACATGATCAGAAAAATGACCAAAATCACGATCATCTGTATAATATGGTCTAGGACCTTCAGATAATGGAATATCATCGGTTATCATGTTGTTGAAACGAGATAGAAAAAACAATATATGTTAGTAATTCAGTCTGTTCTTCTATGTAGGCAACGATTACAAAAATGATCTAGAACATTTTTTTTCTTCTTTTCTATGCAAATACGTGTTTTTTCGTAAGTTGGAAAAAACCTCAAGTGACTGCTATTACCAAGTACGTTCGTGTATTTAATAGCATAGCATTTCAAACACTGAATTACAACTATCATCTTTACAAATATTT